TTATCTATCTTGGTACTGCCTGAGCCTCTAGTGAGTACTGATAGCCATTACAGGCACTGTATATGGGAATTGCTTTATAAATATTTGTTCAATAAATATTGAATGATGGAAGTCCAGGAAACCAATCCTAGTTATAGCATTGCAATTAAAATTCACTTTAATTAATGCTTCCTTCTGTTAAGGCATGGACACAGGATTATCATATTGTTTTCAACAAATGAAATAAGCAAGATCACTGTCATTTTGACTACAGATGTGGCATTCTGGATTACAGTTGATTTGATAGTCAGAGAATTTGGCCTATGTCTGAATATGGTTAAATCTCCAAAAGCTCTTTATGACAACAAGATAATATTAGCATTCCATCCTCAGACTTGCCTTTAGCTCTCCATGGAGCTAGCTTTTGTGAATCAAAATCACCATTAGGGGTGGCTCTACCAAAGTATAATCTTCAAACTATGTAATAACTAGGTATTAAGTTAGATGTAAAGATGGAACCTTTTGGACTATCTCGTTTTTAAGCAGACAGAAAGTTTTCAAAACCATTCTAGTAATATATGTGTGTCTGTATGTATGTATACTACATATATACACATTTATATATGTATATATACACATAGAACATGCACATATGTATGTATATATGGTGATATATATATGTGTATACACACACACACACACACACACACAGATACATCTCTGTGTACAAAATAAGTGGACCTTTCACCTTTCTTGCCCTCAGGGTCTATCTTCCCATGTCCCCATCTCTATTTATATGACATGATGGATAGAGCTTTGGCCTTGGAGGCAGGAAGACCTGAGTCTGAATTCTTCCTTAGACATTTACCTGGCAATGTGACCCTGGGGAACACAGAGTCTGCCTGCCTCAATCTCCTCATCTGCAAAATGTGGATAATGGCAGCACCTACCTTCCAGGGTTATTAGAGGATCACATGGGATAATATTTGTAAAGTGCTGACAAAATTCAAAGCGAAACATAAATATTATTATGTATATACATATACGAATATCCTATATATACACATATACAAATATTATATATTCTTAAGCTGAAACAAAAATGTCCTTTCACTGATATTTATATTAATGCCACTAGATTATAGAGATTAAATACCTTTAACATATTAGAGAAATAACACCCTTCAAACATCTCAACGAGAGCCATAATGATAACAGTGATCTAGCTATGACACTACTGGGATCGATTTGTTGGTACGATGTACAGGGTCCAGCGTTTTCCATTTATAATTAGGAAATGGCGCTTGCTCTCTGAGTTTTGGTTACTATAGTAATTCCAAATGCAAGTTAAGTCTGCTGACTAGTGAAGTATATCATGTACCTTCTGTAAATTGCTCGTTAAGTCACTTGCAATCTATTTTATGTTTCCAACAACAATCTCAAACTGGTGCTGTCCCTGACACATGTTTTTGCAATTACTGAGAAAGCAGACAGAGAACAATGTGTGCATTTTTTTTTCCTTGGGGCTGTTAGGGTTTATATAAACTACAGAATGTTTCTGAAAGTTACAGGAGGGATGGGGATATGATCTGCTGTGTTTTTCTGCATTGGTCAAATAAAAGACAGAAATATTTTTTCAACTCACGTCTAGAATATCTGTAAAATTACCAGTTATGACTTCTGGAAAAATAAACATATTTGACATTTTGTAACCTGTACTGCCTGTCCTTTTCTATTGTTTATCTTTTATATTATCTATCACCTACATATTCCACAACAGAAAAGGCTATATTATGTATCACATAATATATGATATATTAAACAATAGAAAAGGCAACATAACATATCATAATATGTAATGTAATACATCAAACAATGGAAAAGGAAAGGCAACATATGTGTAAACAATAATATATTATGACTATACATGTATGCATGTATGTACATACATTCCTGTATAGTCACATTGTGCTTGTTTGAAAGGCGATGTGGAATATTGCATAGATGGTCAGCCACATTGTCAAGAAGACAAGTCCTAGTCCTCCTAGTTCAGTCACCATCACAAGTCACTCAACCTTTCAGTGTCTCCAACAAATCTCTAAATTACTAGGTACGATAGGGGAGCTGGCTCTCGATATCACTGGATGTAGTGTCTACACCAAGAGTTTCACTGATAAATCACAGGTCCAGCCAGACCTTTCCCTTGAAAATATTATGTTCAACTTGAACTTTAAAATTGGTTATTGATTTAAGCATGATTAAGCAGGCTCAGTGTGAAGACAGTGACTATCATTTTTAGGAGATTCATAGTGTATTCATGATACAATTCATGCAGATTTTGAAGTCTTAACATCCATAAATAAAAGCCTGGCATTGGAATAAATTACCTTATAAGTATTTGTTAATTATATGGAGAATTCCTGAAATGCTTATGAATAGCTATTTTCCACACAGCTTGCAATGCAAAATAATGCAAAATATTAATACACTGCAAATGCAACAATAAAAAATAATTCAGGAATGAAATAATAGATTTACATACTTATGTGCCATTTGCAAAATGTGTCCAGGCATATTCTCTAAAGTCACTAAGGAGGATTTAGATCCATAACTTAAAATCAGCATCTCTATTCCAGAATCTGTTAACATTGTCATTTTTACTAAAATGTATTGCATGCTACTTTGCAATATAAATGTATTTCCTTAAAGGTTATATGGTATAAAAGATTGGATTTCTTTGGTGTGAGCAGGAACAAAACTAAATATGCTTTAAACAAATTCATTTGAAATGTCAAAGTACGAAATCCAAAATCCAAATATTGTAATACATCTCTAGCCTGTATGTATTTCACAGAATTTAGTTCACATTATATTTTATCCACAGTACAAATTAAAGTGTCAGGTGTGAATAAATATACTGTGTATTCTTATTCATTCTTGCTCCTTATATTCTTGAGCTTTTCTGCCATTGAAGCGTAAAACATATCCCAAGAAATGATGGCTGACCACTCGTGGGACCAAAAGAATAAAATTACAATAAAACCTCAAAATCCTAGGTTCCCTCCTGCACTCCACCTTTACCTCCATATTAAGAGTAATGAAGCTCCCAGAGACAGTTGCACACACATTAATTATCAGTACTGGGATAATTTAAACTCATTTCCCTAGGGCACACTATCTTTTCTAAGCTGAGAGGGCACTCCTCCCCCACCGTGACAATTAGCATCTGACAAATGACTTGGTTGTCACACTTTGGACTTAGTGATAGATCATGCCCAATTAACTCCTAGAAGAAATCAATGATTCCTTCCCAGACAATTTACATTAATTAATTTTTAAAATTCTGAATACCCTGGCTTCCCATATGGCCAGTGAGGGCAGGTCTTTCCCTACATAACCAGCCCATATGTTTTGGTCTGGTCTACTGTTTCTGAGCTCTAAGAGCTGATGGCAGAGCTACCACATAATCTACCAATGAAACCAATGAAAAGAGGTACACTAACAACGGCTGAATTCTGACCTAAAACGTGATCCAAATCAAGTAGAGTTGCTGTATGTATTTTCAAATACACTAATGCCTGAGAGGATATAGACTAATAACATTCATTATCAGAGATGGAAATAACATAAGAAATGTGGCTGCAGGGCATGAGGTCCTTTTCCCCTCCTTTCCAACTCAACAAGCATTTATTAAACACAGTGTGAAAGTCACTGTGCTAAGAAGAGACAAAAATAACGCAGTCAAGAAGTTTACTTGCCACCAGAAGGTGGAATATAGGTAAACAGATGTGTAAATGCAAATGCAGACAGATCTAGGAGAAATTAGCATTTCCCAGGTATCTTCACACAGTGAGGTAGTATGCCCCACCTAGCACAGTAAGGCATATGTTTAATAAATGCTTTAGCTAAGTGAGTTATCTAGGTAGCTAGCTATATATATCTTTCTACATCTATCACAGCACTGAATTCCTTGTATAAAACAGAATATGACTAGGGCAGAGCTGTGTTGAAGTTTTCTCATCACCTTATTGCCTTTTTTTTTTTCCATTTAAAGAAATAGAACCTGAAGATACTTCCCAAACGATGTTGAAGACCCAAGATTATGTTTGATCATAAATTAGGTGAGTTGAACCAAATTATAAAGTCACAAGAGTTCTAAGAAGAGGCAAGGGTGTGAGACTATACCTTTCCAGGTAAGGCAAATTGGGGCTTCTTAGCTCCCTCACCCCATGCCACAATGGTTCCTTGCTCTCTGAGATTGGCTGGTCCCCCTCAAGACAATGAATGAGGCATATGTGTTTGGAGACCCGGGCACGTGTGACAAGTACTTTGATCCGAAGTGAGACAACAAGAGCGTTTTTAAACCCTTAGGACAATGGTGTGCTCAGTCACTCCTGGGTTAAGGGTCTTAAAAAACTATATACACAGATTTGATTATTTCTCCTCTGAAAAAAGTGTTCCAGCTCTAAAACTCAGGATTAAATATGGGAAACAAGGAAAAGAGGTGGGCTAGGTGGTAAAAAAGCCTGATTTGCCTCTCCCAATGGAGAAAACATTCCTAATACTGTTTCTGTGTAGCAGGCAGACACTAAGAGAATGTTTGAACTAGAAAGGACCTTAGACATTGGATAGTCCAGCTTTGCTCATTTTACAGATGATGAATTGAGGTGATTTCCCTCAGGTACACTGAGCTTAAGTCAGCTGTGGAACTTGGATCCAAGTGTTCCCTCAGGCTGGGGGACTTACTGTTGGACTTGGCATGTAGGAAAAATGAGAAAGAAATGGACTGGAGAAGAATCACAGACTAGGAGGAACAGTGCCATCTTTTTATCCACAAACCATTTTATCTAAAAGGTAGGCCTCAAAACATCCCTTTGAGATTGTCTTACTTCATACACTTCCTTGAACTACTCAGTCATGTGGGAGAAAGGGGACCAGACTTGGCTTCAGGCCTGGAATCAAATTATGGCTCAGAAAAACACCCTAAAAACCCTTTAAAGATAGGATATTTATCCTCTTACGTTTTTGCCATTCTTTATTATAATTTTTGCAGCAAAAGGTAGGGATCATATATTATAAATTCTGAAGCCTGCTAGTGAAGAGGACAAAATTTGTCAGTAGAGTACAAAAATATAAAACCTGTAAATCAGAGCCTCAGTCATCTGGCATAGTTTATGTAGTGAATCTCATGACTCAGCTGGCATGTTGACGGAGGATCACAAAGGTTAGCCACTATTCCAAAAGAAGAATAGCAGATACACATTTTTGCCCAAAATAAAGTTAAGCTATTGAGCAGCCCACGGATAAGAGCCAAATTGTATATACTTTGTTAGTATTTCTTGAAGCAAAATCTAAAAATATAACAAGATGTAATGTATTACATCAGACACTTAGTCTGATTCAGCTTTTCAAACTAAACTAGGACTTTTTCCCTACTCCATTCTGTGTTATAGTTTGCTGGCCCATCACCACTATCTTTCTGGGTTTAGGTCATCTGTATGACAAATGAGGGGAAAAATAACTCCCTTGATCACAATGCTGATTATGACACTTTCACAACTTTTAAAATTGTGTTCTCAGAAAAGTTGGCCACGCACATATCATCAAAAACATTTGCTTATGATGTGACACACGAGCACATCACCATATAAAGTGGCTGTCCCTCTGAATTATGAGACATAACTGGTTAGTCTGATTTGTTTAGGGCGATGCTGAGTGAATCTAGACTCAGTAATTAGTTCCTGATTTATGTGAAGTTCTACCTAAGAATGACTAGCTGCTGTAGGTTCTTCCACCTCCACGTTCCTCTGATTCAGTCACTGCTGACCAAATGACCCCCCACCAGAGAATCTGTTCTTTCTCCACTTCATCCTTCCCATTTCTAATCCCACCGCAAAGCTCTAACTCCCTGGGAACCATACTTCAGTCAGTACCTGAGCTTGAATCTCAACTCTACTATACTCACTAAGTAACTCTGGCCAAGATATCTGACCTTTCTGTGGCTGTTCTCTTTTCAGTCAATGAGGGGCTTGTACCAAATTGTATGTAAGGTCAGTCCAGCTCTAAAATGTATGACACAGATAAAAGTGATCAAGCTCATCACCATTCCTCCCTAATGAAAGACAAGAGGCCTGCATACAAGGTCAGAACAGACCATAACACGATAGCATTGGCTTAACTTTTCCTTTGTTAAAAAGCAGTGTTCAACTGGGTAAGAGAGAAGAGGCATTTCCAGAAATGACTGTGATATTAATACAGAAGGCACCAACGAAAAATTAAACAAAAAACCTTTTGTGAACACTTTTCTTTACTGAGCTCATTCTCCACACCAACACTACTGAAAATGTGTTCTATCTGAAAAATCAGAATCGGAGAAACTTCAAGGGTTTACCCAAAAGGTATAGGCTTAATTTAAATCCTTTTTTTAGAACGATTCTTTCAACAAATAGTATCAACAACGTAAAGGAAAACATTTAAATAACTGCAGAAGGCACAGTCCATTTAAAGTCAAACAGACCATTTTTTGACAAAGATTATATAGTATCAGTCTTTAAACAGTGCTGGTAAAGAATGAGTAAAAAACTAGGGTTTGGGCTTTTTTTGGAGTATTGGGGATAACTTTTGCACTTTGTGTACATGGTGCATGTGTTTGTTCAGGATGAATGTCCAGCGTTAGTTCTTGTAAACCGTGAGAACCCCTTGAGTTGAAAGGCTAAAGGCCACTCTTGAGGCAGATCTGGGGCACTTCTCTCCCTATGTGTCCATTCAGGACGAATGTCCAGTTTCAGTTCCCGTAAAACAGCAAGAACACGACCCTCCTGAGGGGGAGCACGAAGGCTAAGGCTTGCACCCCAAGTCCAGAATCCCGGGCATCTCTGCCCCAGGCTCAGCAGCCTCAGCCTCTCCCGGGGGCTCATTCTCTCCGAGGTCCTGCAGCAGGTCAGTCCACACGCTGAGCCCCGGGGCGCCGAAGCTCCCGTCCCGGGTCCGGTAGTCCTTCAGGACTCTCAGAGCCTCGTTTCTTAGGGAGGCGGGGCACTGGCAGAAGCATCGAAAGCAGTCCCGGAGGCGCTCCCAGGACAGCCTCTCGGGGCCGGTCCCGACCCAGGTGCCCTGAATTAGGTCGAAGTGTAGACGGCTGCCCCACTGTGCGAGCAGGTCCAGGAAGGCTTTGGCCAGCGCCGAGTAGCCGGCGGCCAGGGAGGCGAGGACTGGGGCGGGTAAGAGGCGACAAAGGGTGGCCAGCGCGGCCGGATGCGCCAGGAGCCAGGCTAGCAGGGGCTCGGCGGCACTCTGCCCGAGGTCCGTCTGGCTCCCCGGATCCTCTTCGTCTTCATCCCGGTCGGGCCGCGGCATGGGCTGCAGCAGCAGCGCCTCGGTCACCACGTCCAGCCAGCGGGGGCCGGGGCAGCTGCACCCACAGGCGGTCCAGGAGCAGGGCCTCGGCCCCGACCTCGGGCTCTTCGTGAAGCCGCAGCAGCAGCAGCTCGGCCTCGGTTCTCCGAAGCACGGGCTCCGCCTGGGCGGGGCTGGGGCCGGGGCCGAGCAGCTGCAGCAGCAGCTGAGAGGCGGCCCTGCGCCGGGCCAGCTCGGCCAGGCGGTCCCGCAGCCCGGACTCGTCCTCGGGCCCCTCAGGCTCCTCGCGCTCGGGCCGCAGGTGCCGGAGCAGCTCGTGCAGCGCGGGGCCCTGCACAGCCGCGTTGTCCAGCAGCCCCAGCGCCAGCAGCTGGTCCGCGCGCCCCAGTCCCTCGAAGCTCCGCAGCTGCCCCGGCCCCGACGCCGAGCAGGGCCCCGCGTGGGCCTCGGCCTGCAGGCGCAGCCCACGCAACCCCTCCTCCAGCGCCGCCCGCACTGGGCCGCGGCGGCGAAAGCGCCCGTGCACGTGACGCAGGTAACGGGCCCAGCGCAGGGACCGGCGCACGGCCACGCGCCCCCAACTGCCGGCATGGCGCGTGCGGGACGCGGCCAGCACCTCGGCGAAGCGCTCCAACTGCTCCAGCAACAGCTCCATCTCCGCGGCGCGCCGGAACTGACGCAGCCGCGCCCGCCTTCTTCCTCTCCTCTTCTTCCCCGGAGTCCGCAGTAGCGCCATCTCTATTGGCGCAGACACCTGTCAGTCAGGCGCCATCTTTACTGTGGGCAAGTCGAGGCGAGGAATAGAAACCTCTCCTGGACGCTCTGAGCAGCCATAGTAATTGTTTTCAGAGGATCCTGGTCTCCATCTTAAACAGGGGAAAGAAAGAACGCTGCCCCAAGGATCCGAGCGATCTTGTTTGACCCGTCTTGATTTGTTCGGCTATCAGAGTAACTTAACTAGATGTTTCGTTTCTCATTGCAAATGTCGGTACTAAAGGCCTGCATAGACTGCACTGAAATATGAAGCCGTGGGAACATAATTACGCATGTGTACAAGATAATTTCATGTCTTTAAGATTATAGATGTATACATGAAAATAAACATACGTATGTGTGTCCATATGCAGTATAAGTATGGATATATACACAGATGTACACACATACTTATGTGTATGTTTAGGTATGTAGTACACATATATGAAAGCACATTTTGTATAGGAGAAAAGTTATGAAGTACAGAAATAAATCAAGCAAATAAGCATTTAAATGTCTACATGCGAGCACAGTGCCTGGCACATAGTAGGGCCTTAAGTGTTTATGGATTAATTTTTTAAAAATTTATTTAATTTTATTAATTTATTTTGATTTATCCACAATCACTTCCATATGCTTTTGAGTTTAAATTTTTTCTCCCCCTTCCTCCCTACCACCCTCTCCAAGACTGCGAACGATGTGATATAGGCTTTACATTTACATTCCTATTATACATATTTTCACATTAGTGAAGTTGTAGGTAAAAATTAAAACCAATGGGAGGAACCATCAGAAAGAGGAAACAAAGCTCAACAGAAGGTAAAAATAAGTGATAGCGATTCAACTTCCATAGTTCTTTCTTTGGATGTGGACAGCATTTTCCATCCCAAGGCCTCTGGAGATGTCTTAGATCCTCGTAATGCTGAGAAGGGTTCAGTTTAAGTCTTAGTCATTGCATAACGTGGCTGTTATTGTGTACAAAGTCCTCTTGGTTCTGCTCACTTCACTCAGCATCAGACCATATAAGTCTTTCCAGGTTTTTCTGAAGTCAACCTGCTCATCATTTCTTATAGCACAATAATGTTCCATTACATTCATATACCACAACTTGCTCAACCATTCCCCAATGGATGGGCATCCTCTCAATTTCCAATTCTTTGCCACCACAAAAAGAGCTGCTATGAATATTTTTGTACATGTGGGTCCTTTTCCTATTTGTTTGATCTCTTTGGGATATAGCCCTAGAAGTGCTATTGCTGGATCAAAGGGTATGCACATTTTTATAGCCCTTTGGGCATAGTTCCAAATTGTTCTCCAAAATGGTTGGATCATTTCACAACTCCACCAACAATGCATTAGTGTTCCAATTTTCCCACATCTTCTCCAACATTTATCATTTTCCTGTTTTGTCATGTTGGCCAATCTGATAGGTGTGGTGTGGTACCTCAGAGTTGTTTTGATTTGCATTTCACTAATCAATAATGATTTAGAGCATTTTTTCATATGACTATAGATGGCTTTAATTTCTTCTTCTGAGAACTGTCTTTTGACCATTTATCAATTGGGGAATGGCTTGTATTCTTATAAATTTGTCTTAATTCTCTATATATTTTAGAAATGAGGCCCTTATCAGAGAGACTGGTTGTAAAAATTCTTTCCCAATTTTCTACCTTCCTTCTTAGTTGCATTGGCTTTGTTTGTGCAAAAACTTTTCAATTTAATGTAATCAAAATTATCCATTTTGCTTTTCATAATGTTCTCTATCTCCTGTTTGGTCATGAATTCTTCTGTTCTCCATAGATCTGATAGGTAAACTATTCCTTGTTCTCCCATTTTACTTAGTATCAGCCTTTATATCTAAGTCTCTGAAGCCATTTTGACTTTATTTTGGTATATGGTGTGAGATGTGGGTCTATGCCTACTTTCTGCCATACTCTTTTCCAGTTTTCCCAGCAGTTTTTTTTCAAAGAGTGGGTTCTTATCCCAGAAGCTGGGGTCTTTGGGTTTATCAAATAATAGATTACTATAGTCATTGACTACTGTGTCTTGCATATTTAACCTATTCCACTGATCCACCACTCTATTTCTTAGCCAGTACCAAGCAGTTTTGATGATTGCTGCTTTATAATACAATTTAAGATCTGGAATTGCTAGGCCACCTTCCCCTGCATTTCTTTTCTTTAGTTACTTTGATATTTTGGACCTTTTGTTCTTCCAAATGAATCTTGTTATTATTTTTTCTAACTCTATAAAATAATTTTTTGGTAGTTTGGTATGGCACTGAATAAATAAATTAGCTTAGGTAGGATTAGTTTATGGACTAATTGACTTCTGTGTTAGATTTTGTGGATACAAAGGAAAAATGAAACAGATTATAAGCTCCTTGAGGGCAGGAGCTATCACAGAAGACAAAAGATAGATAGATAGATAGATAGATAGATAGATAGATAGATAGATAGATAGATAGATAGATAGATAGATAGATAAAGGAAAGGAATAGAAACTGGAGCCATGACTTCCTTAGTATAGGAATTCTGCAGAAAGTATTCCAGTAGATTGAAATAGATAGTCTACTTGCAATCTGCTTAACCATCTTGCAGAGAAAAGTTTTATTTTAAAGTCTTTATTAAAAAGTTTGGATACAATATTTTGTTGACCCACTAAGTGGTTCAGTAGCCTTTACCTAAAGATTTCTAGGGAGAAAGAAGCTACTATATATTGAAAGAGTTCCTGCCATTTCAAAACAGCTCTTATGATAGGCCATTGTTGCTAGTATAAGGTTCAAGGGGATCCTATGGATAAACAGGAAAAAAAAAGGGCTAAGACACATTAGACATGAGCCAGAGATGTCAGTTTTCTAGGGTGTAGTCACTTGCTATCTCTTTGTTTCAAAAAAAAATTTTCTTTGCTTTTATTGTAAATTTAATTATCAACAAACAAACATTTCAAGATACAAAAAAGAACAAGAAAGGATTGTATATGAGAATGTGATTTTGTGTTATGCACAGTTAAAAAATTTCTATCTGTCTGCAGCTTACAATATTAACAAAAACAAAGTATTAACAAAATTGGTATTTTTTTTCCTTCTATGAGTTTAAAAAATGCTTTATTGATGTTTTTTTTTCATATCTATACTACCATCTAACTCACTCCACCTTCCTCAGCACCCTGAGTGGAAGCCCTCCCTTTTAACAAGTATGTATGTATAGTCAGGTGGAACATATTAACACATTTGGCCCACATTTCCAGAAGCACATAGGTCAAAGGTTCAAGCATGATCACCCTATCTTAAAGGGAAAGCTGAGCCATGTCCCTGAACAAATACAGGCTGGGATCACTCCTATAACTTCACCAACACACAGAAATTAAAATCTAGAATTCTGTAAGATCCTTGGAAGTAGAGACTGTTTCATTCTTTGCATTTGTGTCCCCAGTACCAAGAACAGCAGTCGTTCAATAAATGGTCATTGATTGTTTTTTGCTGGATTGAGGGGCTTTAGGTAGCTAAGATGTGGTAGAGGGTGAGGAAATTGATGAAGGTTCTTTTAATCTCATTGAAGGGGGCTCAAGAGACTTTATATTTGGAGGTAAGAAGGAAACCCAAGTGGGCAGGACTTTTAAATTCAGGCCTCTACCTTGAATGGAAATACTTCAGCAAGAAACGAGATCTGAGGACATCCTTCTAGTGACCTTTAGCACTATTCTGTTTACTGCAAAAAGGGTAAAGGGGAAGTTTTACAGAAGAAAGATATGGACACAAGACATCAGAATTTTTTCCTACACAGCTTCATCAGCCCTAGTAGGACAGTAGACAAACAGATGTTCAGTTCTCCAAACAAATGGGGATTATCAAAAGTGTACTTTATGGGCCTTTAAAGAGAATGGATGGGTCCTGGGAAAAAAAGGAGGTAAAGGGAGGTTCTGTTAGGAATCTGGGATGTTTAACTCAGTAAGGCTGAAATAAGAAAACAGAATGAAGAACTTTCTTTGGGGAAGAATTCCTTCCCATCTTCTGATGTTGTTTGGGAAGCAGGTGATTGTAATTTGATGGTGGGGGAAGGTATTGAAAGGCACTAGGAAGTAACTAAAATGCCAATAGTTATTATTTTGAGAAGTTAAAGACTGTCTTGGAGGACGACAGCAAAGAGGGTGGTGCCTATGATACGAGGATATTGTAGGTGTCCTTTTATATGTGGAGAGAGGTGGCATTGGAGAGATAATGGTGATGGTTGTAGCCAGGAAGATCTATTCCCCCTTCCTCCACGGAGCATGTTGAACGTTACCATTCCTGGTTCTGGTAACCAGATATTACTTGGGGGCTTACTTCTTACCAGGTTCTATCCCAGTGCTGAAAGGACCTTGTTGTTTCGTATAACAGGGTAGACCCTAAGTGTTTCCTCGGTCATTCCCGGCTCTGTAGCAGCAGTGGAGGAGGTGGGGAGGAAGGGTTGTTGGGGGGAGAGGGAAACAGCATTTTAGATCTATTAGGAGAACAATTTCCCACTTAATCTTTTGGTTTTGACTCTGCTGTACAGCAAGTAGTACATTGAGTCTCTAAACTCCTGTTTGTGGGGTGGGGTCCCCCATCACACAAAGATCATGGGCAAGCTTGCACCTGGGGTCTTGGCTGCTTTTTTAGCTTTATATTTCCTTTCCTGAGTAGGTGACCCAACATGACTTAGATGTGTACCTTGGAATGACCTTGGAAATTTGATTAGTTGAGAAATCCAATGAGTGAATCATGGCAATAGCAAAGGTGGTCTAGAGACAGGAAAGCTTTTACACCAGAGAAGGCAATCAACAAGAAGAGGATTGACCCAAATCTGGCTGGGAGTGGTTTGGACAGTATCATGACAAAGTAAATGTTAAAATGCTTAATTAGCAATCCTGCAGACTGCTTTGTGTTTTCATGAGGATAGAGTATTAGTCTTTG